CAAAATAACTTTTAACTACAATTACAATACAAAATAATTTAATACAACTACAATTATAACTACAGTATTTTTCAGTAATCACAAACATACCTTATAGAAAAATAAGACAATTTTAAATAACCTACTTAATAACATAATATTTTTAAAAAAATAAAGTCATAACAATCAGAGTAGAAGAGTTAGAAGACAATAAAATAAAATATAAAGGCAGTTGACAATTCCAATTTCTATTAAAATTTATTATTTAAGAGAATCTAATAATCTCCGTGGGTCTCTTCAGCTTCCATTGTTGTTGAATGGACAGAATTTGAAACCCGCAAGCATTTTAGGATTCATTAAAAAATTTTCTGCATTTTTTTATTTACATGCATAAAAAGAAAAAAAAAAAATCAGCAAGAGAATATAACCATAAAGTTTAAATACTATAAAAATCAAAGCTTTTCTTTTGGTCCGAATAAAAATCAAAGCTTAAGTGCCAAAAAAAAAAGGGGGCATGGAGTTTTTCTAGGCTTTGTAAGGTCAGGGGCATTGAGAGCTTTGGGCTTCTGCAATGTCAGCAGGGGGCGTGGGCAACCGGACGAGGTTAATCGGCGCCGGCGCTTGGATTGCTAGCGACAAAGTTGGTCGGCATTAGGTGTTTTGCAGGGGTCGCTGTTTAGTTTTGCTTTGCTTTGCTTCTGCGATGCCAATTGTGAGGGAGAGGGGCCCGAGACAGGGCTTAGATGAAATTTAGGGTTAATTTGAGTGTTTTATTGCCTTTGTTTAATTTAATAAATTAAAATGACAAATTTACACTTAAAAAATGAATTTAATTTACTGAAATGGATTGATTTCGGTCTCTGAAAAAAGAAAGTACAATGCCATGAACAGGTTAATAGGTTAACAAGAAATTCTTTCAGTTTAACCAAATGTCTTGGTTTTAAGTCCTTAAAATGTAGTTCTATTAAAACTCGTAAGAAAGAATTTTATCATCCGTTGGGTGCTCGAGTTCGAGTAGCATAGCATGCAGGTAGGATGGGATAAAAGATGAAAAATGATTGTTTCTCATTATGCAACAAAAAAAAAAAAAAAAAAGTACAATAGCCTGGAAAGCCGGCGCCACCCACTCTCTACATTGCAGCTGCTATTGTGTGTGAAGCGGACGCTATTTGGAAACCGCCATGCTATGGCTGTTCTCTTAGCGGCAGCCCCTACAAGCTCTATACAATGGCCCCGCTATAGCGCATAGCGGACACTGTTAACAATACTAATTGGGTAAATTTCAAAAAGGGTTAATTTAATTTTTAGTCTATTAATTATCACATTGATTTTATTTTAGTTTAGAAACTATGTTTTATTTAAGTGGTCTATTAACTTTCAGATTCATTTCAATTTCGTCTATTCATTTCAATTTCGTCTACTTGGTCAAAGATAACGGAACACTTTCTATTCTATTAGAAAACAATTAAACCTCTGACTATATTTGTTTTGATCTTTTAATCTTTAAATTTATATTTGTTATAAAAATAACTTTTTTACTTAAAATTATTATTTATAAGCTATGATACCAGATTTTTATACGAGTTTTCCTATTTCTTTAATTTGATATCAGAGTTTGAAAGTTAATAAACCACTTAAAAATAATAATTTTAAATATAAAAATTTGGTATCAGAACCTATAAATAATAATTTTAAGTAAAAAAGTTATTTTTATAACAAATATAAATTTAAGGATTAAAAGATCAAAAAAATATAATCAGAGGATTAACTGTTCTCTAACCGAATAAGAAGTTTTTCGTTATTTTTGACCATTTTGACCAAGTAGACAAAATTGAAATGAATCTGAAAGTTAATAAATCACTTAAAAATAAAATATAGTTTCTAGACTAAAATAAAATCAAGGTGATAGTTAATAGACTAAAAATTAAATTAAGCCATTTCAAAAATCCAAAAGAAGTCATCTTTTGGTAGCATTTCTGATTCTGACCAAGGAGTATGGTACAACCAAAATATAAATATCAACCGTCAACCT